AGCGGGTTGTTTGAGCAGCCCACAGCGCTACATGTTGTACTCGGCATATTTCGAGGAACAGCCGGGCAGTCTTGGGCGCACCGAGTTGCTCGCTAAAACGAGTCTTGGAGTCCTCACAAGCAAATAAACAAAAGGCTATACCGAAGGTACACGGGCTACAGATAAGAGCAACGTCATCACAAGCCGAAGTAGCGGTGGTAGCGGCACAAAGAAGCGCGCGCAACGGGTGCGCCGTGCGCCCGTCCAAAACGGAGAAAAAAAAAAAAAAAAAGAGTACGATTATGACGTTACGGTCCAATGTTGCTTGAGCGATCGGCAACCCGCTGCCCGCCCGCTAAGGAGCAGCGGCTCGCGGCGGGTCGCATTTTTATTATCGGCATTAGTTGAGAATGCGGCGTCCCACGGGCGTAATATTTTGGCTGGGGTCGTATTTTGTGTCACTAAAGCGATACCAGTAATTTAATTCATTTTGAGTTTTGGCCGGAGTTGCCCTTTAAGGTCTTGTGCTGTCGGTTTCGGTAGACCGGATAAATTGATTTCTTTAACCCTGCAAATTGTGATTTACACAGAAACGCAGTTGGAATGGTGGGCATGTGCAATTACGCAGTCAAGAAAAAAAAAAAAAAAAAGCCCCGACTTTGCGATTTCAAAGCAGTGGGGCTTTTCTCGGGTCTAGGCCAACTCGTCGAAAGCCAACTCGTTGACGGCCAACTCGACGGCGACCCATTCGGCGAATAGGCCCATTCGTCATAGGGCAACTCGTCGAAGAGGCCAACTGGTCTCCGCCTTTTTAAAGCCAAACCTATAATATTTTTCTTTAAATTGTAAAGCAAATATTGCCTTATAATAATCCGTGTTCTGTTTTTTATGTGTAACTCTCATAAAAAAAATGTGTACAATTGGCGCTCTCCTTAAAAAACTGAACTCCAGTCTGCTCTTTCTTGTCGAAGGTAACAACTTGCCGCTTTCGCCACTTTCACGGTGCAGTGGGGCAGGGTCACTACGTCGTTCGTGTATCACTGGGGCGCGTGTTAACCTACCCGGCCTACCCGGCCCATCAGTTGACGCCGCTTGGCGGCGACAGTTTGCGGCGGCTCATTACAAAATTGTCGACCCACCTGGCCCACCCGTTCACGCCATTCGCGGCGACAGTCTGCGGCGGCTCATTACAAAATAAGTAATAAAAAATGTAACAAAGGGACGATCCTGAGATGACACATTTTAGAGCGCAGCTGTTAGGCGCCCGTTTCCGGCTTGAGCGGCGTCGCCGTCGGCGTAACCATGAGGTCACGTGACCAACCCAGGTCACGTGACCACCCTGAAGCCACGTGACCCCCTGAGGTCATGTGACCCCTCCCCCGAGGTCAGGCGACCCCCCTGACGTCACACGACTCCCCTGAGATCACGTGACCTCAAGGAGTCACCTATCCCTCAAAACGCTTTCCTCCTCCTCCTCAAGAGCTGCGCTCTAACCGGCGTTACAGGGAATTGTAAACGGCGTTCATTTTTTCAACTTGTCTCTTCTCTCTTTGCCTTCTTGTAATTTTTCTTTCAATCTTCTAACTTAACAAAGACGCTGGCCCTAGTCCAAACACAAACAAAAAATTAGTTCAAAAGATAAAAAGGAACCACGAACTTTTACCTTGGACCGTCATTCAACCCACTCGACGAACCGCCCTTAGACCACTTTTCCCTTTCGACAAGTTGCCCTTCGACGAATTGCGCTAATACGAATTGCGCTAATACGAATTGCCCTATTCGACGAATGGGCCGTCGACGATTTGGCTTTCGACGAGTTGGCCGGATCCCGCTTTTCTCACCAACTGTAGAAAGATTAAAAAACAAATGTTACTGTGCGTGCACTTTTTTTTTTTTGTAACGATCTTGATGACGATGCCAAGCAACGCCACGGGCAGGTTACGCGTCAATTGTGTTCTGCGTTCACCCTGTCAGGCGCGGTCGTCGGCTGTCGCTGGTTGTCTTCCTGTTTGCACAATGCCTGTTCGGCATGCTGGCCGCGGTGTCGCCCAACCTGATCGCCTTCATCTGCCTCCGCTTCCTAGTCGCTGTGGGCACAGCGGGCACGTGGTCCTCGCTCACCAAGCTCGGTAAGACCAGGAGGTCAAAACCTCGCGCGATTTCTGAACTCTGCGCAGAGTCGCCTCTTTGGGACGGCGGTGTAGGGCCGGTTTCACGAAACGCTTCCTTACTTCCGGTAAGCCGTGTTCTGCCATGTTGATGAACAGCGTCTGCCCCTTTTCCCATTTGTTTGCATCCAAACGATTAGTTACGTCGTTTTTGGTATTAGCGAAACACACCAGCATAACGAGTGGCGCCACTAACGGCAGAACTCAGTCAGTACGACTGGGGTACGTATTTGGACGGCATAAACCCTCGCTTACTCCATGTTCTTCTTTTCGGAGTCGCCCCGGCGGCATCTATACCGAGTCCATTTTAGCCGCCGACGGGTCACCTTCTCGATCACTGGCGCGAGGCACATGCGCGAAACATTCATCCGATCCGACGTCCGATCCGGCAGTACGACTGCCTGATCCGAAAAATTTGGTCGCTTCAGACGCCGGATCGGCGATCCGACGTGCGTCCAACGCGCCAGATAGTTTCGCACGGCGGACGGATTGTCGGATGCGTCCAGCCAATGACAGCACAGCTATCTCGAACGTCATGATGACGTACTGGGTCTGGCGGGACGAAGCGAGCGCGATAACGGGACGGGCGAGGGGAAGCCGGACGCGTGAATCCCGCTGACCCATTCGAGAAAGATGGCCCCAGCAAAGAATGCACGCGCTAGCGAGAACAAGCTCCTAACTTCGCTCGTGCGAGCTGAACCGTCAATCTGGGACCAGAGATCTATGAACGCGGACCTCCGCTGAAGTGCTTGGATCTCCTGGGCGGAGCCGAACGGATCGTCGTGTCGCATGCAAGGTCGGAAGCGTGTGTCTCAAACTGTCGCGTACGGCGATTCGGAGCGGCGTTCGGACTGTCGGATCGGACGTCGGGTCGGACGAATCTGCCGTCCATGTGTCTCGCGCTTTAAAAGGGTACTGCAACGAACTTTTAGCGTCCAAATGTCCACCATGTTCCGGCCACACCGCAGAGACATTTTTTGCTCGAAACTACACCAAACCTTAGAACGAATAAACCGAATGTCGTGCGTAGTACTACCCATAAAAGCCGCGCCGCTCCGCGGAAGCGCGGCGGCAAGCGGCGTGCGCTCGAGCTCTGTCGAACTTTTTGCCGAACCGAATTTCCCTTCTCTCTCGCGCCTATTCAACTCCTGCGGTGAGCAGGCATCCTGGACGGCGAGGTTTGACAACACCAAGTGGCGAAGCTCGCGCCAGCTTCCCCCTAGCTTTGCCCGTGAAGGTAAACGTGACGTCACGAACGCGCTGGGGCGCCGGATCTCCTGAGACGCATCGAGCTTCCCGACAGCTGCTCTTCGAGCGCTCGCTGGAATCGGCCGTTTGGAAAGAAAAATATAGCCGCCCATCAAAAATACAAACGTGCGATTGTCATTAGTCGATTTTGTTGATCATGCTTAACTAATTTCTGAACGTGAGAGATATATTTCAATTTTCATTTCAGTATAGTCCGAATAAAGGCCGGCATGTATCAAAATCGAGTATCAGCCGTCGCTTTTTTATGTTTTTTTCTGACTAGCGCAGTCTATCACTTCTCGAGCGAGCTGGAAAACATTGCCTCCGTGCCCGCAGTAGGGCGAAAGTTCATCAACATGGCGTCCGGCGAGATTTCGAAGCGGAAATACGTCACGTAAAATCGGGCTATAGGGAGCTCGTGGGCGTTCCCAGTGGAAGACCTCGTGGGCGGAGGCCAGCGCGCCCGAGCGCTTCTGCTGGCCAGGTGCGCCCTCAGCGTGGGCTTCCTGCTCGTGGCCCTGGTGGCGCTGCTCGTCAGGGACTGGAGCTACCTGGCGGCCACCACGTCCGTGCCCTTCGTCACCTTCCTCTTCTACTGGAGGTCAGGCACCCGGACTCGGTTCTTCGTAACTACCCCCGCCTCTGAGACAAAGCAAACCATTATAATGATCCCCGAAATTGTCTGTGAAACAAACGCCTACAAGTTTAGAACACGAACAAAAGTAAACGTCGCTGCTCTCGTCTCGATGTGTGTTTTATGTGTGCTTCTTGCAAAAATATATTTATTTGTTATATTCTAACACGTTTTTACCATACCAAACTAACATTTTACTGTTTAGCCAACAACCATAAAATAGTCAAAAGTGTGAAAAGCTTTCAAACATTTGCGCGAAACCGGATGTTCTTTCCAGGAATGGAAAGGTCTTGCGGCTTAGAAGCTAATTTTGATGCCAACCAGATGTCTGAAGGTTCTCTACGCAGTGCCTTCCATATATAATATTAGATCGAAGAACACCAGACATTAGCTAACGTTACAGTTCCTCTTAAATTATCTACCCCAAACAGGATTCTCCCTGAATCTCCGAAGTGGTTACTGGCTCATGGACGGTTCAACAGAGCTGCTCAACTGATGCTCATCATAGCTCACACCAACACCAAACACATTCCTCGCGACTACTTGACCGCTCTTCAGGTAATAACCTTCGTAATCCCTGTAAATGAGCGGCAGTAGAATATTACACATGGTAAGAGACACCCCCTTTAAAGGGTAAAGAAATATTTAAAGAAAAAAAAAAAAAAAAACATCAGAAAACAAGGGGAACGGATGAGACGAGAAGATAGAGGGGTAACAGTTAAGCTTACGTTTGGAATGGCAATCTTCTGCATATTGGAACCGGCTAAATTTCCTCTTTAAATGCCGCCAGCGAATGATGTCATCGATTGAATTCCAGCGTGATTGCCCGGATTTCGTTTTTCGCCCTGAAGAGCGCATTTTGCCTGTGCAGCTGAACATGCCACAATTTATTCCAGGAGGACGCCAGCTCTCATCAAATAGCCTGCGGCGAGAGAGATGCGAGTAATTTACTTCAACAGTTCGTTGACCTTTGCGGAACAAAGGAAACAAACCGGAGAATATTCCTTCTGCTGGGCATCGGGTGAGGAAACTTCAAACAGCACTTTCCATGCCTGCGATGTACCGCTTTCTATAGAACATTTGGACAGTAACATTCAGTACCAAAGCTTTTTATTATCAAGCACACTCCAATGAAACGCGCTATGACGATCAATATGAGCTGAAACATCGGATCCAGCCCTTTTCTGCGTCTGCGGTGCCCACCAGCACTATTATCTCTCAATTTGTCAAAGAGCTCGAACTAGAAGACCTCAACTTCGCATTCCATTCCTATAGTTTGGACCACAGCTCCCTAACAAAAAACTAGCCGGTACACCAAAGAAGCATGAAGGACTTGTTTCAGCTCACATTGAACGCGATGTACAGCTTCGCTCTACTTAAAAAAAAAAAAAACAAAAAAAAAACAACAACAACAACGTGATCCTAGTATTGCTAAGTCATAAATACTTATCCCGAAACATCTAAAGATGTTTCGGAATACGTAGGATGAGGACTGAAACACGCGCAATGACCGATTTCCTCCCTCTTACGGCAGGGAGGTAGTTTAATTGTCCCGCCTCCAACGCGACCTTACTACCTTTGATAATACTTGAGCGTCTTGTGAGATTCTAGCGCGCCCACACTAAATTTGTTTCCACCCTTAAAGGTGTAAATCAGCTTGTCATGCGGCTAACAACCTAGGGGTGTTCCAGTAGCACCCTTGGGGTGCTGGCGATCAGAGCAGTATTCTGCGACTCTCTGAAGCTATACTCCCTTCAACATCCACGTAGTTTACGAGCAACTGGCACCCCATACCGTCTTTACGTACACAGAAGCACAAGACCGGTATCCCGACCTGTTGGCTGCACCGTATTTGAAAGGTACGCCTTTCGCCGGCGAGTCTCAGCAATTAATAAGGTTACAAGCATGTTGCTTTTCTAAACAATATTTCACATAAACCATAATTTCTTGAGGTTTAAGTATTTCCCAGTAAAAAGTATTGGTATAGGCAATAACTATTCGACATAGCCGCTATCTACACTCTTGAACAGATGAAGCGTCTTCCGTGCAACAGCAGCCTAGTTTATAATTATAAAGGATGTATTACCCAAGGATGCTGAGGATGGCTAGTTTTGTGCACGAGCCGCCTCGGTGGCTCCGAGGCGAGAGCGCTGGCCTACGGATCCCCTTGTGGCGGGTTCGAATCCCGGCCGAGGTGCCCGCAATCTGACGGAGGCTTATTGCGGAGGAGGCGCCGTGTAACCGAGCTTTCGGTTGCACGTCAAAAGATCCCCAGGTGGTCCAAATTAATCCTCAGTCCTCCGCTGGGGCGTGCCAGATGCCCGTCGTTGGCTTGGCTCGTAAAACCCCCAAATTTGTAGTTTTGTTTTGTGCACGCGAGCAGCCAAAGCATGGCGGAGGCGAGCGCGTGCTGGAGGCTGGCAATCCGAAAGAGACGCACTTTTTGCCGGTGAAATGATGAAATAGAGAACACAAACGTTTCGGCGGCAAGCCCGACGGACCAAAATGCTTATACCACTACCCCTGCAAGCGACTAAGCATTATATTCTCCGCAGTCTGGTGAACGGTGTGGCCTCCCTAGCGCAAGTGTACCTAGCAGTGGGCCTTGCCGGCAACGCCTACCTGCACATGCTCCTGATGTCCTCGGCCGATCTCTCGGCCTGCCTGGCGCCTTTGATGATGCTGAAGCACAGTGGATGCCGGAAGATAGCCATCCTGGGCTGTATCTCCGGCGGTGTCACCTGCTTTGCCCACTTCGTCACAAGCAGGCGAGGTGGGTCCGCGGGCAAACCGAATCTGGGGAAGACTTGAGCTTTTTCTTTTTTGATTAGAACTTCGCAATACAAGTCCAAGATTGCGGGACATTCAGTTTAGTTCCCGAAACCGCGCATAGATGGCGCCTAATGCTGCGATAAAGCTGAAGCAGCTAGCTAAAGAAGGTAAATCAGGGTCCGTCCCCGTCGAGAAGTTCCCCCCTCCACCTTCTCCTTCTCTACTTCGGAGGCCGTGAGGCGTCGTGCGCTTGAGGTGCGGTAGGCTTCGGGCGAAAAGATTATCCCAGGATGTTCCATTGTAAACGAGTGGTGGTGGTGGTGGCGAGGGGGGGGGGGGGGGGGGTGCGGCTTGTTTTTTAGACGAGCTGGCCGTCTCCAGTTCAGCTTGGAGGCACAAAAGCTCGTTCGCTCCGTGATAAAATGTTTGGTTCTCGTTAAATTGTCCCGTCGCAGCGGATACACAAGTGGTCGCATTATCTAGCTGTACAAATCCGCACTTTATAAATAGTTTTCAAACCTCAGCTAGGACTCTTATATCTGAAGACATTAAACTTGAGTCTCATTTTTTCTTTTAATTTACTGTCGAAAATGGTTAGAAATATCATTCAACGCCGTTCGAGCCCTTTTCCCGAGCACCGTTACGTCGTCCCGGTTACCATTGAACTCTACCTATTAAAACAGTTGGCTTCCATGGTATTTATTGTAATTTTTGGGGGGTTTTGCTTATTTGCGCGTAATATAAGCATGCGCAGGTATATTTTTGCGTGGATAAGTGATGTAAATATTATAGTGCTGGGCGATTGATCGATTAACCTTCCGATTAATAGCGCTATCAATTTTCTGAACGACTAGTCGTTTTTTTTTAATTTGTATACGAGAAAAGACCAATTTAAGCAATTTTATTTTACTTCGTCTTAGTACCACTGTAAGGATAGTCAACAGAAACTGCCTCCATGCCAGAGAATGTGAACGAACTTCTTTCTTCGAAGGAGAGGCAACAGTTGGGGAACACCTTTTCAGATCGAGCTGTCAACTGCACACCGAACTACATATCATAAGTAGGAAATGTACCTTGGGTTGTGTATAACATAGCAAACGAAGTCGTCAAAGGATAATTGACAGTTTCGATTAATCGATTATTTTATATATTAAAAGCTGGACATTAATCGGGCAAAAAATTTTAATCGACTCCCCACCCTAATTCACGGTTGTAGAAAGTGTATAATAGAAGTGAATTTACGTTAACATTTGCCAATTGCGAACATTTGTTGACTGCGTTATGACGCCTTTATATTTCGTAGAGAGACTTCTTAACGTACTAAGATTTTTGCCTTCTGTGAATTGCTCCGAAAATAAAATGTGAGGCTTTGTTTTTATAATCAGGTTATGATAATTTTAACATTTCCTAAGAGAGCGGCATTTAATTAGGTTGCGTACACTTCATTTTTCGAAATTAGATACAGAAATAAAACAAGAAATGCACAATATTTTTGTTTTTTTTGTCTTATTATGCTCAAGTTATGTCCAATTTTTAAACACAAATAAACAATATTTTATGCATTTCGGTCAGGGTTGGGCAGGAATACTCAAAAATGTATTTGGAAATACAAATACTGGGATACATTAAAATAGTAGCTAAAATACTGATACTGAGATATATTTGTAAAAGTGTATCGCGATACGTATCGGAAATACATATTAAAAAGAGGCAAAAAGTATTTGGAAATACAAATACAGGAATACGTTTTAGGGAGGGCAGAAATACAAATACAGAAATACTGATACTGCAATACATTTTTAAAATTTGTTTGAGACGCCAAATGAGATGAAGCTTGAAGTTGGAGGTTGAAGTTTTTAATCCTGAAATTACTTTACCGTAGGCTTGGCACTTTGCCTTGAAGGTAGTGATTTCGGGCGACGAGGAGTCTTCAGTGGGCTCAAAAAAACGTTCCATCAAGGACTGACCGCGGTCCCTTCCCTGACATCCTGTCTGTCTGATGAGGGATGCGAAGAGACTTCGACCTCTAAATAAATTATATGTCATCCTAAATCACTACGCCCCTGTTCACTAAGGACGCCCCTGTCGACATTTATCACATGACGTCACGGTGGAATGAACTGGCATTCTTTATCTGTAGGTGTGGCCTTGAACATGAAACTTTAGCACGCTGCTGTATGAAAGGACAATACATACTTTCGTTGTAGGTTACCTCGTTGAAGATCCAGCAGGCAGTGTCATTTGGATTTTTCGAGAATAGTGGACTACCCCAAGCAACCTGGAACACCTGTCTTATCTTCTCTTACGGTTGAAAAAAACGATACGGTGGCATCCCTGTTGTAAAGGTCTTTCGTGTCGGCCCTCTGCCACCGACGCATGGATTGCAGTTCTCAAGTTTGGTCTTACATACTCCAAATAGAGACTTCGTGGATTGCGACCTGATATTGCCGGCACAAGTGCGAGCTCTCCGAGAAATAGCTAGCTCGAGACGAGTCGCAGGTATACGAAGTCTGGGTCGGCACAGCGAGGCCACGTCTGACTTCCTTCCTGGGTTTCGGATCACCAGAGCAGCAGGTTACTTTCACGTCGGCTGATGACGTACCCTTAGGCTGTGCAATATTACGGGGGCAGCCGCAGGCGCCTTCGAATATGTGTTGAACTTCACTGCATGAGTCATCCTACTATTTCAAGTCAACCACCGCCAGGCTCTTGCTGCAACAGACTGTGTCAGCTTTGCCGGCCGGGTGTACTGCGCACGCTAAAGCAAGACAGACGTTTAGCAGCGGGCATTGGATGTCAGCAAATAATAACTCAAGAAATTCCTACCTAAGGACCTGCGGCAGAAGATGCTCTGAATCCACTCCTGGCACGCCACCTAGTTCGAGTCCCCGACTACGCAACACTTCTCAGAAATGAGAAGAGGACGCATAGGAAAATAGTTTGGAGAATCGGAAGGAACCTTGGTCAGTATGGTAACAATTCCCCAGCGCCTCCTTGGCCCTGGCGCCCAGAAGTAAAAAAATATGCGTTGGATTGTCTCTCCGGGGGGGGGGGGGGGGGGGGGGGGGGGAGGGAGTATTTCTTAAGAAATGTAACGAAATACATTTCACCCTGATTGTATTGCAATACAAAGGAGCATTCCAAATGTATTCCGATACAGGAATACAGATACTGGCGAAAAATATGTATCGCGATACAGAAATACAGATACGAAATGTATTTCTGAAATACTATCGCGATACATTTGTATCGCGATACTGCCCAACCCTGATTTCGGTGAGAAACCGGCCAGCATGTAACAATGTCAGATTTTGTTGCTTGCCGTTGGCAAGCTTTTCTACGGAAATATGTTCCCCAAAAACCAAGGATCAATGACTTTTTTTTTATTTCTAAATTTTAGGGAAGAAAGGCCAAATTTGCGTTGAATATCTCTAAGCCGGAATTGTTTGTTCCTTAAAGATGCCATGAGGTAATTATGGAGAAAAGCTCACCGCCAAACAGACAGATGCAGAGAAAAGCTCACCAGTGACCACACGTTTGACCGATCCGAAGAAAAGCTCACCACAGGTTTGACCAACCCTGAGAGAAGCTCACCATGAATTTCATCTTTCCGTAACATTTATGTGTATGCCACCAACTTAGGAGATGTTGGTTTTTAACATTTTAGAGCAGCAGTAGCTTTGCAGTGAAACCAAAGCTAAAAACCTTTCACTTTACCCTTGTTGGCCAGAGTGACCCGTGAGCGCCAAGATGGAGTTGACGCCGTCTACTTCATCTACTGTTTCGCCGTGCAACTAGAAAATTATTCCACTTGTTATAGTGTAAAAATGCAACTGAACATGAGCACTTATTTTAATGTTCTTCCTTTACCAGTTGAAGACCACATCCGCTTTATATGTCCTTTGCGTTGGGTTCCAGTGTGCGGGATAAAAAGAAATTAATAAGTTATGTTTCTGTTCAAGTTATTCCGAAGACAATTTACGAAGGTCATGAGAGGACATTAACAGCCTGAGCCCTGGATGACACTGTTAGCTGAAAAAGATGCATGAGTAGGCTAACATATAGATTGTGCGGCAACGCGCAATCATTTTGTTGGTCAAAAATAGGTTTACAAGGAATAGTTTTGCTGATAAAAATATCTCAAACAAGCAGTTTATTTTTCAATTTTACGGACTGTATTTTTATTATTTCTTCGTAAACGAATAAGCTTTTACCAAATTATTAGGCCCAGTTAAGAAATTTGTTGGTGAGCTTTTCTCCGGATTCGTCAAAGGGCTGGTGAGCTTTTCTCCGCATCCGCATATTTTGCGGTGAGTTTTTCTCCGGTCAGCCTTTCGCCGGTGAGCTTTTCTGCGGTGAGGATTTTTCCGCCGTCTGCCCTGAAGAGGTTTCTGAGATCGCCTAATTATGACGGTAACTTACTCTGCGGGCTCTAAGCATCCTAGAGATTTTTGAATCGCAACGATGCGCGGCCGATTACTCTATTAAAACAGCAATCAAGGATCGAAAACATCGGGGCCATCTCAGGCGATGCCTTGCACCTACGTCACATGATGACGTCGAACACCGCCATCCCCCATGCTGGTGGTTGACTCGGCGGCCCTTCACAGCGAGAGCAATGGTAAACTGCGCCGCGCTCGGCTGTAGCCATTACTACCTATTCCGACGATCGTCCGATCGTATCGTCGGCATGCTCCGCGAGACAGAGTAGCCGTCAAGTTAGATAAAGTACGAGCGGCGGAAAGAGATCTGCCTGACTACTACAAAGTTATCTCCATCGCCAAATTCAATCGTGACGACATTTTGACGTCACCGTGAACTTTATTAGCTCGAACTCCATCGGAATCCGTAGGGAAAAACTCAATCGCAACGTCACATCACGTGACCAAAAGGGCAGCCAATCAGCGACCGATTGAGTTAACTTCATCGTTGAGTTTGCGATCTAGCATAGACAGCCTGGCCGATTACCGAGTTTGCGGGACGCATTTCATAGCGCCGAGC